CTCTTTCCAACTTCCATTCTTTCAGTTGTTACTGTGAATGGTTAATTCTTTTCTGGGAGCTATATTAAAATGTTCGACATACTGAAACTAACATGTATTTCCTAGTGCAATTTTTTTTAAATGTTACTGAAAAGGTTGTTAACATTTCCTGATTTAGATTTTACCAATTTATTTAATTGCTTTTGCTCTATAGGCAGGAAAATTATTTTTATCTTCTACCCTTCTAAATTCTTCGCTGGGACCCCTGTAACAAAAGATAAATTAATGACAGAAAGTCATACAAATGTATTTAATATGAACTTTATGTGATATGGGAGCCTACATAAAAAAATGAAGACTGAAAGAAATAGTTAAACCTGAGCATTTTTACGTTTGGTGAAGAGTGGAAGTGTTGGAAATATATGATATGACAAAGGGTATTAGCTAAGAATAGTAAACTAGGGGGGAAATAGCAAGTCTTGTTCATTCATATTCCTGTTGTCCTTCATCTTTGGATAAGAATACTTTTTCCCTCTGGGTATAGAGAGAGCACCTCTCACATGAGGGTCTTATGACCCACTTCCCTGAAAGGGAAAGTCCTTACTGTGCATGCCTTCTCCCAGATTTCTTCAGATTAAAATATTCAGTATGCTAGGGTGCCAAATTTTGGGATAGCATGTGAGGAGGACCAAAGTTTTGCCACCCCAAAATATGCCATTTGGGATATTGATTTTAAGCAGGTTATTCCATAACAAAAGACTTGGAAAGAACTTTTTACCCTCCCCCTTTACCTGCTTAAAGGAATTCAAATGAAGGACCTGTTCCAGGAAAGGGGATATCATCGCAGATAACTAGAGTTTAATATAAGCTAATGTGTGATAGAGAGGAACCGAACAAGGCCCATTTATTTGAAGTCTTTTCTGTGTTTCGTTGTTAAAGAGGGCTAGCAAACATTTATTTACTAAACATTTGCTTTTCTCCATGTGACTTGCCTTCTAAGTCTCAAACCACAACCCCCCATCTTCTCTGTAGTTCCAGAATGGCATATAAACCTCAACTGCCCAATTCCTCTTTGGATCTCATATCTTATATCACTAATGAATATACATCTGTAATAAACTTGGACATTTTCTTCCATTAATTTGTCTCTGTTAAATTTGATTATGAGCTTAGCTAAAAGAATTAGAAGTGGGAGGAAAATTATGTTTTGCACCCCCACACATGTCCTGAACTCCAGTAACTCTAAACATGTAATATACAGATGATGTATAATAGAATTACACACTTGAAACCTATATAATTTTATTAACCAATGTCACCCCAATAATAAAATAAAAATGTACACTGTATGTAGCTGTTTACTAAAATCATTTTTATAATAGCAAAGGTGGAAATATCAAAATATGCATTTTCAGACATTGGGTAAATTATGTACCATATTTTGTCATGTATAATGCATGCCCGTGTATAATGCACACCCACATTTTTGGCCCAAACTTTCAGGGAAAAAAATCTTTTGTTTTAATTTTTTAATTCAAATTTTTATTTGTTTACATTTAGGTACTTGTTTTTATTTATAAAGAAATGTTAGCATTTATTTTTTAACATATTATAGTACAAGAATTTTTATGTAACAAATAATTATAAAACACAAGAACAGATACAAGGTACAACAAATTCTATGTACTGGTAACAAATTTATGACAGTTAGTACATTATAGAAGGCCAAGAACTCTTCGCCTTTACAAGTTCATTGTAAATTCAACAAAACCCATTATCATATTTCAGGGTATTATTTTGCATACAGATATCATTATTGATTTCTAGAGTTACATGTTAACTCATAAGCATAAATAAAATAATTAAAAACATTTATATAGATACAAAATTAGTACTACCCATGTATAATGTGCATCCTTATTTTTCCTTCACAAATTTGGGCAAAAAAGTATACATTATACATGGCACAATACGGTGATGTAGTCAAATAATTCTAATACTAACACCCTTTAAAGAGAATGAGGTAGACAGAGTGAGAAAATGTCCACAAAAAATTAGGAAAAACAACAGTTGTAGAACTCAAAATTAGCATGACCCCACTTATACTAATAATAACTAGGTAGATAGGTAGATGATAGAGAGAGAGAGAGGGAAAGAGAGAGAGAGAGAGAGAGATGCAAGCTCTCATTCATATCTAGAGAAAAATTTGAGGACACTCAACTGTTAAAGGTTAGTGCTGGAAAATGGAAATATGGAAAGGTATTTCACTTTAATCATTAAAATCTGTTTGAATTTTATGATGTAGAAACATACCCTTTGTAACAAAATGTTAAATAAAACCAATTAAAAATAAAATGCCACTCTTAGATACCTAAAAAAAATGAAATTTCAAATATACAATATTTAGACCTTCTTGATTCCATGGTAAATGAAATAGCCAAATGATGGTGATAAGGAAGGATGAAGAACTGAAAATAGACAAACCCTGCCATTCAGTGATTCAGGAAGGTTCACTGTCAGGTGTGCAGATGTTTTCTAAGTGATTTACATACGTTCTTAAGCTAAGGACATTGTTGTCATTATTTTGGCTAAAAAAATTGATCATGATGATGATGATGATAGTAATAATAGGAGTCGTTTTTCTCAACCTGAAGAGTACCCTACATTCAGAAAGCACTAAAGTCATCTTCTTTATCTGTTTTCACTGTTTTCAATATAGTGAAAACAGTCTTTGTGTTAGTGCCACTGAAGAAAATATTCCTAATCAACCTCCCCCACCCCGCTCCCCTCCCTCATCCTTAGAAAACTTTGATGATATTGTGCTGAGGAATTCAAGCACTCAATAACTGGTCAGCTTTAGAAGAAATTCACAATTACAGTCAGTGAAACTTGTATGTATCTGTACAGAAATATATGACGCTGTCTCAGGTTAAATGTGTTTTCTTAAAAGTGTCTCATTCTTTTTTATTATTATTAGTTTCAGGTGTGCAAAACAGTGTAATAGACATTTATACCTCTCACAAAGTGATAACCCTCCTCCCCCAATCTACTACCCCTCTGACATTGTATGTATTAAATTACAGTTCACATTCATTATTATTCAGCTTCAGCTTCAAATGTGCACTGCAGTGGTCTCATTCTTTATCAGTTATGCATTGCAAGTATGTTTTCAGATTATCACTCCAAGTACCTATTATAGTGTTTTAAAATTTCCTAACTCATTTTTGTTCAGAGGATGAAGGAATGAATTGGTGGTTGAATGACTGAATGTGAATTATATCCATAGCAAAATTTACAAAGTTCTGTTCACCCTGGGGAGAGGAAATGATTTGATGGTATGCAATGTTAAAAAGCAAAATTCAACTGAGTAAATCTGAAGGTCTAATTGGCTTTACTAAGAGATTCATGAATCAGTCAGCACTGCATCTAGCAGCTAGAAGGACTTGTACAAAATGGGAGGTTTTTATAGGAAGAAGGGTAGGACACGGGAGCTGGTAACGAAAGAAAGGATTATTTTGGGGTCAGGACATCTTCTCTTTGGGGGAAGAGAACTGCAATGTTTTTTATCGTGCAGATTGCCTCTTTCTCTGGGGGATGGAGAGGGCCCACATGACAAAAGATGTGGTCTTATTTTTAAATAATACTTCATGTAGTCCATGTTTACAGGTATCGGTTATAAGGACCTCTTATCTTCAACTGTGTATTTGTAGGTACTAAAAAAGTTTTCTTTTGTCCTCTTAATAGTATGGCAGCTATGATAATCCAGGCATACTGGCGTGGTTACATTGTGCGCAGGCAGACTCATTTCTCTACAAAGCGACACACTGCTGCAACAGGACCCGTGAGATCCCGGACAAATTCCTGCATCAAGAATCAAACTATTCTAAAGAAAGAAAAAAGAGAAAATACTATGAATATCCAGGAACAGAGGGAAAAGGCTGCTACTCTTATTCAGGTTATTTTTTTTATTATTATTTTTTAAAGATTTTTATTGGGGAATTGGGATGGGAACAGTGCTGGGGAATTGGGGGAAGGGGAACAGACAAGTTGCTGTCCTTTTGTTCTTCAGTCTAGTTGTGGAGGACGTTGCTTCACTGGCCCAAGTTGGCACCATCATTGCGCTCTTCCCGGGTGAGGCAGATCAGTCGCCGGCTTCTGGATGGCTGCTCATGGCGGCTGCTGGCCGCTCACACTGGCTGCTGGCCACACACAGTAGCCCATGGCAACCCACTGCAGCAGGGGCTGCAGCCTACACCATCACTAGCAACTCCCGGCAGCTCAGCTCCAGGTTGAGCTGTTGTTCAGCATCTTAGCTGTAGAAGGCAGTGTCACTGGCCCTCATATGTGGGATCCAAACCGGGGCTCTCTGGCATCCCAAGCCAGCTCTTAACCAAAGTGCCATTTGGCTGTCACAGGTTATTTTTAATCTTTTGGTTAAAGGAAATGTATTAGTCATCTTTCACTTGGTTATTCTGTATAACAGACAACCCCCAAATCTTAGTGTTTTACAAATATAGATTTCTTTCTTACTCATGTGACATGTAGGCTGCAGGCTGCCTGCAGGCTGGCTGTGTCTCTGCTTAGTATCTAGGCTAATGGAGTAGTCTGTAATTTGAAAATACTATTCTCGTGCCTGAGGGCCAAGCTAAACTGCACAATCCTATTTAAAGCCTCTGCTCATATGTACCAGTTGTCACATATGCTAACATTTGATGAACCAAAGCAGGCTTCACTTGGCCTAATCTATACAGCCATTTTTAGAAGCATGGTTTAAAATCTGCTAAAATAATTGTTAAAGTCCTTCACATACACATTTAACTTAAAAATTAAGAAAGCAAGTAGTGAATACGCATGGCCTTGATTCAACCTCACCAAGACCAGATGAACCTGATCACATTCATCTTTTCTTTATTCACTCAGCAAATAGGTTTTAGAACCTACTATTTGTCAAGCGCTATTCTAGGCTCAGGAAACATAACTATGAATAAAAAATACAAGGTCTCAGCCCTCATGGGGTTTACATCCTGGTAGAAGAGGCAGACGTGAACTAAATAAATACAGAAAATGAGGTCTATGGAAATTCATGCTGCTATACTGAACTGAATCCTAGTCACTAAACACTAATTTAGGGTTTCCCTTTATTCACTCATTCAACAATTAGCTTTTGGCACAAAAATCTCACTAGCTTGCATTCTGTTAAGATGTGCACTTAATAACTATGCTAGATAGTGATAAGTGCTAAGGGAAAAATATAAAGCAGGAAAAGTACGATAGGGATTCCCGAAGGAAAGTTGATCATTTTATTGTAGATAGGATGGATATGGGCGACCGGAGAAGGTGACATTGCATTGAGAGATGAGGCCATTGGATATCTGGGGAAAGTTTATTCCAGGCAGAGGAATATCAGAATCAGAGGCGTTGATTTAGGAGCGCACTGCAGTGTTTAACGAGCAGCAAGAAGCTAGTGTGACTGGAGAGTGACGAAGGAGAGAAGAGAGAAGAGTGATACTTAGGAATCATACGTCATTATAATGATTTGGGCTTTTATTCTGAATGCCATGGGAAGATATTATGTTATAGGAATCTGAGCAGTAGATTCACATGATCAAGTTTACTTTATGGTGTGATTATACTGTAAGAAGGCAGAAATAGAAGCAATGAAATCAATTAGAAGGCCATTGTAGAACTCCAAACAAGAGATAATGGCAGCATGGACCAGAGTGTGGGAGTAGAAGTGATAAGAAAATTACATTCCAGAATCTGTGTTAATTTATCTTGAGGATATGCATATACGCTTTGAAGACAGGGCTGATATTATCAATTCATGGGGATGTGATATATGAGAGGTAGAGGGGGGGGTCTGGGATGCATCCAAATTGTTGGCATAAGCAACTGGAAGAATAGCCTTAAAATGAAGTTGCTGGCTTTGGCTATTAAAGTGATAGTTTTCAGGAGAATTATCTGTGCATGGTTCTAATGAGCATATTCAGTATTTCAGCTGACTTAATTTGTCTGGACTGTACTCCTAAGGGCAATGCATAATCAAAACTGTTACTAATGCCTGAATGATGGCGGGAGCGGGGGAGGGCAGTGTATTCAATGAAACTCTGAGGAAAAGAAAGAAACCTCAGTTACTATCTGAAAATGTCATTCTGCTGCATGGGGAATGAATGTGTCATGCGGTGCAAACCCTATCTTATTATCAGCTAATGAGCAATACATTTTTTAGCATTGATGGTAAATGGATATTAAACTTTTGCTTCATTTCGTTCAATAAAGAGAAAATCATTGCTTTATAAAACAAGCTAATTCAGTGAGTGACATCTCTGTTGAATGTTCTTTTGAGCATGTTGAGCTTCTTATATCTGTAAGAAAAGTAAGCATAGCTTAGCTTTTCTTTGCAACTTAGAAATCAAGTCTATTTTGTGGTACTTCATGGTACTTGAAATCACAGAATCAGGTCAACTTCCTGTTCTCTTTTCCTGAGTACAATCATCTAGTTTTTAAAACCATTCATCTTAAAACATGAATTCTAGGCTGCCTAACCATCCTGGAGAGCAGAGGATGATATAAAAGAAATGGCCTAGGCTTTTTTTGTTGTTGTTATAGTTCAGAATTTTATTTTTTTTATTAGATCTATCAGGGTGACATTGGTCAGAAACAACCTAGACTTTTGAGCAAAATGAAGATTTCAGGAATGACATGGTGAAGACTGCTCTCTGCTCACCGAAACTCACACTCTCCTCTTCTTCCTGGTACGAGGCCAGCTTCCCAAGCACTTTAGCATTTTACTATGGCCCCTTTTCTCAATTCCAGTCAATAGAACATGAGTGAGATATGTGCATCACTTCCATGTCTGGCCCATAAAACTTCCCACTGACGTTCCTCGGTATCCTTTTCGCTTTCTGGCTGGCTGAGATGAAGACAGCCTGTGAGGCCTCCTTGGAGGCTGTCTGTTGGCATTGCAGTCTGCAGAGCCTGGATACCTGAATCATTTAATGTGAAAGCGCTGCCCCACTGTCTTGTTTAACGTCTCAATGTTTGTTATGTGATCAAGAAATAAACTATTGTTCCTGAGTTATTCTACATTTTTGGATATTTTTGTCATAGCACTCAGCTTACCCTAAGTAGTATAAAAAATGTAAGATACACTTTGAGAAATAGATAGTGCTCAATGTAAATATGGAAGGGAATGGAGGCGTTCCAGGTATAAATGACAGTGGAAGAAAAAGGACATAGGATTTCAGGTTACTGGAATAATAAGAAGTTGGAGTGCAACCAGAGTACCATAAGTATTAGAATATTAATAAAATATAGGAGGAACATGGTCAGAGATGTGCAAAGGATTTTAGCACAGAATAAGTGTATGCTATATTCTGGGATGGGAGTTGGAGAAGAAAAAGGTATCACATGTGTCTAATATAGTTGTCTGGCTAGGGAATTGATTCGAACATGTAAAAGATGAATTAATCATAGATGGATTACCGAGAGGAAAATTGAAGCCTTGACGGAAATAAGTTAGAAAAATAATCCAAACATTACTTATCACACATGTATATTACCATCATTTCTCATCAGCTGAATAGAGATGGCTGCGACTTGAATTCCTGATGCACATTATTGAGGGAGATGTCCATAAACATCATACCAAAAAAATACACCCTATGTATTATGGTCTAGAGCTCTGTAGAAGGTCTATCACTGATGACTTGGGCTGGATCCACCGTGAGCCTCAGTGAATAAATCTTTGCCATTGAAGGCCTGAATTAGAGAATTCCCTTTATACCCTCTTTTTCCTAGGTCTGTACCTAATCTTTATATCTCCTATCACCAACTCTTCTATAACCAACCCACTTCTCCTGCCACTTTACTAGATTATTTGAAACAAATCCCAGATATCTTATCAATCTTTTTGTAAATACACAGGGTGCCCAAAAAATCTATATACACTTTAAGAAAGGAAAACTATTAAAATTGTAATACTCAATATATACCGATAACAAAAGAGAATACAAGTCATGTTTCACTTCTGCAATTACAAGAGGTGCTCAAAGTGGCTACCATCAGCATCCAGACACTTCTGATGATGGCGAACTTCTGCTTGAGCAACATTGACCAAAGTGTCCGCTTGTACACATTTTTCACTTGTTTGGCACCCCGGGTATATCAGTATAAATTTCTATAAGATCTATTGTTTTAAGGATAACTGCAGTGCATTAACAACCTAAAAACTGACAATTATTTTTCAAAATCACCAAATAGTAAATCAATATTCAGATTTCTCTACTGGTTCATAAATGTTTGTTTACAGGTTTTTCTGAATCAAAATACAAACAAGGTCGTCACTTTGCCATGGGTTTATTCGTTACGTAAGCCTTTAAGCATACAATAACCCCTTCTCTCTTCTTTTCTTTGCAATTTATTGATTGAGGAAACCAGACCTTTTGTTCTGTCAAGTTCCATGTTCTCTGAATTTTGGCAAATGCATCCTTATGACATCACTTAATATGTTTCTTATCCTCTTGTTTTCTGTAAATTGACAGTAAGATCTAACATTTGATGTGATTTGGGTTTGGCTTTTTAACTGAGACTACTTAGTAGGTGTCAGTGTGCATCACAGTGAGGAGGTCCCAAGTGTCTGGTTGCCTCCCTTTTAAGAATATTAGTGGCCATTGGTAATCACTGCCTAGATCAGTTCTCTTTTAATGATCTGCAAAATGCTGATACTCTATATATCAGTTCTTCTTCATTTATTAACCAAAATATGTCTACAAAGAGAAACTTTATCTAATCAACTAATTTGAGGTACAGTTCATATTGGAAAGGTAAGTTAAATGCTTGATGCTCTCCCTTTATTTACCAATTTTTAGATCAATGAGTTTGGCTAGCATCCTCCTTAGATTACCATAATGTGTTCTGTCATAATATACACAATTTTTTTAAATATATGATGTATCTTCATTCCATTGCAGTTGTAATTCTTATTGATACTGAAATTGCCCTTTATTTAGCCCATGGTAGTCTCTTCAAGTTAGCTTTTTAGACACAATTCGGTCGTCTTTGAAAGTTCCCTTGCTTTCCCATGTGACATCATGTTCCAGGTTCATTTTACATACATTCTGCCTCAGGCCTGGATTCAGTCATTGCTCCAAATATCCTTGGTCCCTTTAGTGGAAATAATATTTAAAGACTCCAGTCTGGATTGTACGAGTGCTTTAGGATTGAAGGAGTGCTTATTGCTACTGGTGGGGTCATTGTTTTCAGATGTTTTTCAATAAAATGATCTGAAAAAAATACATTTTTAAGAAAATATATGTATACCATGGGTTCATGTGGATATTTTAATACTGAATGTAGGACTGCAGTAATTTTACTTATTTGATTTTATATTTGCATCTCTTTTCTTCTATAGAAAATCCTGGTTCCTAATGACATAGGCATAATTGCTCTTTTTCTCCTTTCTAACGCCCACTCCCATGTGGTGTATGTGTGTGGTGTGTGTGTGTGTGTGTGTGTGTGTGTGTGTGTTTATACTGGAAATAAACAAGGAACACACAAATGAGAAAAAAACAGTCTACTTATTCTGGGTGTGCTGTAGCAAAGGAGTCAGCCACCATCACTTGACTTTGGCTTAGACTCAAGGGCAGTAAAGGGCGTGAGAAATCGTTACGATGGGGAACAGAGAGAGAGAGGGAAGACTGTAGATATGCTCTGATTGGAGGCTGTCAGCCTGGGGGAGATGGACAGCAGGCAACTAGAACTGGGCCATCCGATGTGGTTGGTTTCGAAAACATATTTGGCTATCTCTGGTTGGCCCCAAGTTAGAAGAAGTAGGGACAAAAAATATAGGGAAACTGGCAGTCATTGACCAAAGTCTTGATCATTCTTGGTTAATAGTTGCAGAGGTTGTGGTTTGGCTTCCTAGGCTGTTTGCTGCTAACGTTGTAGGTGACTTATTCTTATATATGGTCTGTTCATTGTCTGTATATCTCACTTCTCAATATACATATTTTACATATTACAAACATCAGTATTATTACTAACATTATGATTACTGAAAACATATTTAAGGCATCTTTTATAGTTAACTTTGTCTTTTGAGTATATTTCACTAGGGATATAGTTAAGTAAATCTATTTTAAAGTCACTTTAAATAACTTCTATATGGTTATGCCCTATCATGAAACACATTTTTGTATTTTTTTCAGGAATTTTTTCCACATTTATTTGTTGTACAATAATCTTAAGCATGTGCACAGTTTCAAAGTCAAATCTGAGCACGGTATATTCAGAGAAGTCTGGCTTCTATTGCTGTGACTTCTACCTGAATTTCTGCCATTATAGTTAATATTTTTATAATGAATTTTATGTTATATTTTCACTTTTTAAATATTAGAAACCACATATACATATATATTTATATGTTTATATAACTTATATGTTTATTATATATTTATATAAAGTATTTCATAGATAAATGGTAACATGCATTTATCTATGAAAGAAATTTAAATATGAAGAGATAAAAACATCCCGCTCTTTCTACCTTGTTTTTTACACTTAATATATCCTGAAGTTCACGCCCTAGCAGTATATAAAGATACTCATTTTTTAAATATATGGTGGTGGAAGGAGATCTGACCCTGGGTGGTGAACACACATGCAATACATAGATGATGTGTTATGGAATTGTACACTTGAAACCTAAATAATGTTATTAGCTAGTGTTACCCCAATAAATTTAATTTTTAAAAAGCTGTGATATTTTTGGAGTTACAATTAGGAAAACTTTCCGTACTCCCAAAGTTATTGAGGAATCTGAATGTTTTTAATTCTGTTGTTTTGTGATTAGTTTATTTAAAAATGAAATTAGTTGATTGTTGTGAGTGAGGATATCACTTGTCTAGCATGGCCATTTATGTATGGTAAAATTTTCCTAAGTTTGTGTTAGTTTATTTTATACATAGTCATTTGAAAATTAGCAAAATTGGTTTTCCTTTGTATCTCTTTCTTCTTAGTTTAGAGTGGGTCCTGGAGGAATTATCAGATAATTGATTGGTTGACCTACATGTGCAGTTGAGGGAGTTTTAAAGATTCTTTTCTGCTTACCACAAGGAAAGTCTCCTGAGATTCAGAACTTTAGACACATGCAGTTGTTTAATTTATCTTGCAGTTCTAAGTGTCACATAAAGTTCAAAACACAGATTACTGAGCCATTAAACTAAGGTCTAAGATGTTTTATCTTCCTAATGGGATAATACAGAGAATCTGGTTTGGAGTTTGATCTATAACCTTGTATAACATGCTTTAAATTTTTGTTTAGGCGATTTGGAAGGGCTTTCTTTTGCGAAAGAAACTGACAGCAGCTCTAGAAGCAATTAAGAATGAAGACTCTGAAGAAGAATATGAAGAAATAAATTTAGAAGATTTTACATTTGATGAAGTAAGTACCAACTACAACATATAAACATTGGTCTTAAAATAGTTTTAGTATACTATTTTAAGGTTAAACCAGTTTCTAAGGTTGAAATCTGTAACGGTGTCATTATTTTTTTATAGCTTGTTTTCAAATAACACCTGAAAAAGTATGCTTTCAATTTCTTAACATCTTCATTTACCCTACAAGCTTATGCAATGTGTAAACATGGTCATAGACATTTACAAGAGTTCCTGTGTACTCTTCTCCCACATTTATGCATTTTGTTTATCAATTATTCTTCATTAGATGTAACTATGACCTTATTTACGCTCTGTTCAACAACCTTTCATAGCTCTCTGTTGTCTAGAAAATTGAGAACAACCACCTTAAATTGTCATTTACTAAGTATTCCACAGTAACAAAGCAAGCTATACAGAAATATCCACCACTTCTCCCCTGTTGCTTCCATCTGCTCCAACCAAACTGAGCAACCTTTCACTGTACAGAGCACTTGCCTTTACATCCTTAGTTTTGCTCACCTGTTCCATCTTCTCAAGGTAGTTTAACCACCAGTCAGATTAAGATATAGAACATATAAACACCCCCCAAAGACTTCCTCATGCCTCCATAGTATTCACACCTCCATTATCATAGATTAGTTTTGAACTTCCTGTGAGATCATACAGTATGTACTCTTCTATCACATAATATTATGTCTGTGAGGTTTATCTATGTGGTTGAGTGTGGCTGTATATTTGCCACTCTTTTGAATATACCACTTTTTATCTATTATTTGAATGTACCACTTTTTAAAACTGGTATTCTAGTATTGGTAGATTTTGTTGTTGTTGAATTATTTCTAGCATTGCCTATTATGACTAAAGATGCTATGAACATTCTTATACATGTCTTTTGATGTTTGTGGTCATGTTTCTTTTGGAAATAGAATTTCTGGGTGATAGCGTTTACCTATATTTAGAAGATAGTGCCTAATTGTACTACAAAGTGATTGTATCAATTTACAGCTCTAGCTGCAGAATATGAGAGTTTCAGAGGAGCTCTATCCTCACCAACGCTTTGCATTTTTGTGTCTTTTCCCCCTATTCCAGTAGGTTTCTGGTGGTATCTTGTTGTTTTGAGTTGCGTTTTTCTCATAACTAATAATGTTGAATACCTTTTCATATGCTCACTAGCCATTTAGATATCTACTTTTGTGACATGATCAAGTGTTTGTGCATTTTCAGTTGGGTTGCACATCATTTTTCTTACTAATTTGTAGAAGTTCTTTATATATTCTGAACACTACTCTGTTTTCCTTTGCAAATGTCCTCTCTAAATTCTGGGGCTTACTTGTTTATTCTCTTTATGGTTTATTTTGATGAACACAATGTTTCTAATTTTAAATTAAAAACAAAAGTTTTTAAATTAAAAACAATTTTTTCATTGTTGTAACATACAAGAAATCTTTGCCTACTCTTAGATCATATTCTAGAAACTTTATCTTAACTTTCAGGATTTTAGTCTATGATGCACCTGGAATTAAATTTTTGTGAGTAGTGTGAGGTAAACGGTCAAGATCCCCCAATACTCACACATTTGGTTATATCATTGACTCAGAACCATTTGTTGTACAGACCATACTTTTCACAGTGGATTTCAATTGAAGCTTTGTGTAGACTCAAGTAACTGTATGAGTGGGTTCTCTCAATTTTTCTTGTTGTTCTGTTGTGATCCTTACATCACTACTTTAATTAGTGTATAATTTCTAATGAATTTTGGTATGTAGTCTTAAAAGAGCTCCAACTTTGTTCTTTGTCTTCAAGAAAGAAATTCTACCACTCTGTTGACCCTTTTTGGTTTTGTACACATTTTAGAATCATCCAGTCAATTTGCACAATAAATATTAGGATTTTGTCTGAGATTGTAGTACATCTATAAATCAATTTGGGAGACCAGATCATTTTTTAATATTATATTTTTAAATATCCTGTACACAGAATATCCTACCATTAAGTCATTGAAGATTCCTGTCTGCAATGTGCTGTAGTTTTCTTCATTGTGATCTTGTACATTTTTGGTTGAATTTCTTCCTAGATATTTGATGTTTTCTGATATTATATTTATTTTTGTATATTAAACTCATATTTAACCACTTTGTTGAAATCACTTATTAATTTTAGTAGTTTATCTCTCAAGTCTTTTGAATAATCTGTATTTACAATCACATCACCTGAAGATAATGACAGCTTTATTTTTATTTGTTCCAATTCTTATGTCTTGCATTATTTTTCTTGCCTTATTATCCTGACTACTACCTCCAGTAAAAAGAACCAGGATACTACTGTTAGTAGATATCTTTTTCTAACCTATGGTCTCAAGGTGAAAGATTTCAATATACCACCAAATGAGTAAAATGTTTACTATATGCTCTTGTAGAAACTCTATATTTGATTAAGGGAGTTACCTTATTTAACATCTTTTTTCCTTTCAAGAGGTTAATACGATGATGATGAGGTGGATGATGATGATTCTATATATGATTTGGATTTTATCAAACACTTATATACATATTGCATTGATTTTTCAAACATTAAACCTTGTATTCCTAGAATAAACCAACTTTGCTATAATGTATTATCTTTTTACATGCAGTAATACCTTGGTTACTCGCAGCCCAAGGTTGTACTGTATTTCTGAACTTGATTTGCTAATATTTTGTTTAGGATTTTTGCATTTATATTCAAGAAGTGGGCCTGTAAATGTTCTTTCTTGTAAACTCTCTTCAGATTTGTTATCAAGGTTGTGTTGATGTTATACATTTGTTTAGGAAGTGTTTCTTCTGTTTCTGTTTTGTGGAAGAGTTTGATGTAAGATTGTCGTTTGTGCCTTAAAAAATTGTCTCAGCATATAATCTATTAGGTTGTTGGAAAAGTCATGATGTATTTTTCTATGATTTTTTTTTTGTTTTTTGCAACAATGTGTCATGACATTTCCGACAACCCAATATTTTGCCTCATACTTTGAGGCTATATTATCAAGGCATACACATTCAGGATAGTTGCATCATTGTATTATTGAACATTTTATCATAATAAAAGTTTCCTCTTTAATTCTAGCTTCCTTCTTTAACTAACTGCATTAATGGCTATTTCCTCTGATAAACTGTATTTCCCTATGTATAAAACACACCCTTTCCCGAAAAATTTGGGGTCTAAAAACTGGGTGCGTCTTATACAGTGGTTGTATGAGTGCAAAAACAAGCACGAAAAAAGCGGGAAATGCAAGTAAAACAAATCTACAACCACTGTATATGACGCACCCAGTTTTTAGACCCCAATTTTTTCGGGAAAGGATGCATTTTATACATGGGGAAATATGGTAACAACTGTCTTTTGATTGGCAATTTCATAATATATATTTCCCTAACCCTTTTCCTTCAACATTTCCTTGCTCTTTATATTTAAAGTTGACTTTTAAAAGATTATTTTTATATTTCATTTTGACATTACTTGCCTTTTTATTAATGTAGTTACACTATTTTAATTTATTTTAATTAAATATAATTAGGCTTATATATGTCATCTTTCTATTTTTTTTCTGTCTCCTATATGTTCTATGTGCCTCTTTTGCTTTTTTTTTGCTTTTTATTAATCACATCTTTTGTGTTTTCTTTTTTCTTCCTTCATTAGCTTGCTAGTTTGTGGTTATCTTTTTTCCTTGCACCTCATTCCTTCCTGCATTAACAGGCTTCCATCTGGGATCATTTTCCTTTGCCTAAAGGGCTTCCTTTAGCATTTATTTCATTTTGGGTCAGTTTTTGATTGCTTAAAAATGTATTTTACTCTAACTTTTGAAGGATAGCTTCTCTTGGCATAGACTTTTAGGTAGGATTTTTGTTTAACGATGTCATTTCATTAACTCCTGGCTTCCACAATAGCTTCTGTTGAAAATTCAGTAATAAAACTTATATTTTCTTCCCTGAAGATATTGCTTTTTCACCCCTAGTCCCCAGAGTACTTTTAAGGTTCAATTTCTGTTTTCATTTTTTAGCATGGGTGTGATTTTCTTTGTATTTTCTTAGCTTTCAGTAGGGGAACTCATATATCGTCTTGAATCTGTGGTTGATGTATTTCATCAGTTCTGGAAATTATTTGGCCAGAGTTATTTCAAATATTTATTATTATTATTTTTATTTCTCTTCTTTGAGGTAAACTGGCTCCAAAAACACATATGCAGAATTTCTCACCATTTTACAAGTGTCCCTTAGACTCTTTTTTATATTGTTCTCTTTTTATGCTTCTATTTTTTAATTTGGATGTTTTCTACCCTGTAGTTCACTAACCACTTCTGTTGAGTTATCTAAGCATTTTTAGCCTATGTATTGAATTCTTCATTTCAGTTATTGTATTCTTCATTTCTGGTTGGTTCTTTTCCTATGTCTTCTGTCTCCATTTTTATGTTTCCTATCTCTTTGTTGAAGTTCTCCCTGAGTTCCTTGAGGATCTTTATAACCAGTGTTTTGAACTCTGCATCTGGTAGATTTCTTGTCTCCATTTTGTTTAGTCCTTTTTCTGTAGCTTTGCTCTGATCTTTATTTGGGACATGTTCCTTTGTGTCCTCATTTTGGCACCTTCCTGTGTTTGTTTATATTTTTTAGGTAGAGCTGTCTCCTGGTCTTAGAGTGGCCTTATGTACTAGATGTGCTGGTGGATCCCATGGTGCAGTTTCCCTGGTCACCTTAGCTGGGTGCTCCAGGTGTGTCCCTTGTGTGGGTTGTGTGTGCCCTCCTATTGTAGTTGAGCCTGCATGCTGTTTACACATCGGTAGGAGGGACTGACCCTTAGAGTTATTGGTTGAGAGGACTAGCCATGACAACAGTGGAGGTGCTGTTGTGCAGGGCTGACCCTATGGAGCAGCATTTGATTTCACAGGACTCTGGTGCTTGCTGAGTCTGCCCTTTGGGTGTGTCATTTGTGGAGGTGCTTGGACGATTCTCTGGTGTGGTCTGAAGCCAGCCACCTTGT